TTTCAATCCTCTGGTACTTATCCAGAATCCAAGGATTTTTGGAAAGTTGCAACCAATGCATCCACTATCTCTGTAACTGCTTCTTTTACGATCCTAGGATTTAAGCCATTAGGGTCAGAGGACATATCTGCTTCTAGCCCCACTAGTTCGTCTAATACAACTTCTCTAATAATGATGATGGTACTTAGTTTCTCCCCATATTCTTTAGTATTAATGGGATGTTCAAATTGTCTTCCACCGTAAAGACTGATGCAAAATACCTGTTTAACTCCTCTGCTGTTTCCTTATTCTGCATGTTTCCCCAGATTAATTTCCTAAGGGGACTGTGTTCATTTTGATCTCTCTTTCTCTTTTTATATATTTAAAGAAGCTCTTATTGTCAGTTTTTACATTCCTTGCTAGTTTTCCCTCACAGTTCATTTCTCTCTCTATTATCTTTTTAGTCCTTTGCTGGATGTTGAATTTATCCTAGTCTTCAGGGTTATCATTGTCATTTGCCTCCTTATTTGATTTTTGTTCACCTCTGTTCATTTCACCTGAATAAGATGCTTCAGTGAACCTGAATAATGGTACTGAGAATGCTTTTATTCTGAATGAGTTACTAAATTGAACTAAATACTCTCGTGATCTATTTATTAAGTAGAAAATTCTGCCAGCGTTGATTCATTATTTAGTAGTTTCCTAAATTGGCATACTTTAAATTCCTGTAAATAATAATGTGACCTTGCAAATGGGATTGTTTATTACACTGGCTACTTCTTTGACTCCACTCCCCTGCCATCTCCAACTGCTTAACTGCCTCTGCCTTCATCATTCAATAATTTAAGCTGTCTTTATCTGCTGAGCAGCATTGCATTTCATGTTGTTTGAAGATTACGTCAATGATTTTAAAGATGAAGGAAAGGAGATAACTGTTAAGCTCTCAAAGTGTATCAGAGATTGTAGGAACTGCAGATGCTGGAAAATCTGAGACAACAAGGTGCAGAGCTGGATGAACACAGCAGGCCAAGCAGCATCATAGGAGCAGTAAGGCTGACGTTTTGGGCCTAGACCCTTCATCAGAAATGGGGGAGGGGAAGGCGGTTCTGAAATAAATAGGGAGAGAGGGGGAGGTGGATAGAAGATGGATAGAGGAGAAGATAGGTGGAGAGGAAACAGACAGGTCAAAGAGGCGGGGATGGAGCCAGTACAGGTGAATGCAAGTGGCGAGGTAGGGAGGAGATAGGTCAGTCCAGGGAGGACGGACAGGTCAAGGGGGGCGGGATGAGGTTAGTAGGTAGGAAATGGGGCTGAGGCTTGAGGTGGGAGGAGGGGATAGGTGGGAGGAAGAACAGGTTAGGGAGGCGGGGACTAGCTGGGCTGGTTTTGGGATGCAGTAGGGGGAGGGGAGATTTTGAAGCTTGTGAAATCCACATTGATACCATTGGGCTGTAGGGTTCCCAAGAGGAATATGAGTTGCTGTTCCTGCAACCTTCGGGTGGCATCGTTGTGGCACTGCAGGAGGCCCAGGATGGACATGTCATCTGAGGAATGGGAGGGGGAATTGAAATGGTTCGCGACTGGGAGGTGCAGTTGTTTATTGCGAACCGAGCGTAGGTGTTCTGCAGAGCGGTCCCCAAGCCTCCGCTTGGTTTCCCCGATGTAGAGGAGGCCACAACGGGTACAGTGGATGCAGTATACCAGATTAGCAGATGTGCAGGTGAACATCTACTTGATGTGGAAAGTCTTCTTGGGGCCTGGGATGGGGGTGAGGGAGGAGGTGTGGGGGCAGGTGTAGCACTTCCTGCGGTTGCAGAGAAAAGTGCCGGGTGTGGTGGGGCTGGAGGGGAGTGTGGAACGGACAAGGGAGTCCGGAGAGAGTGGTCCCTCCGGAAAGCAGATAAGGGTGGGGAGGGAAAAATGTCTTTGGTGGTGGGGTCGGATTGCAGATGGCGGAAGTGTCGGAGGATTATGCGTTGGATCCGGAGATTGGTGGGGTGGTATGTGAGGACGAGGGGTTTCTTTTTTGGTTGTTATTGCGGGGACGGGGTGTGAGGGATGAGTAGTGGGAAATGCGGGAGATACGGTCGAGGGCGTTCTCAACCACTGAGGGGGGGAAGTTGCAGTCCTTGAAAAACGAGGACATCTGAGATGTACGAAAGTGGAATGCCTCATCCTGGGAGCAGATGCGGCGGAGGCGAAGGAGTTGGGAATAGGGGATGGCATTTTTGCAGGAAGGTGGGTGGGAGGAGGTGTATACTAGGTAGCTGTGGGAGTCGATGGGCGTGAAATGGATATCGGTTTCTAGGTGGTTGCCCGAGATGGAGACAGAGAGGTCCAGGAAGGTGAGAGAGGTGTTAGAGATGGTCCAGATGAACATAAGATTGGGGTGGAAGGTGTTGGTGAAGTGGATGAACTGTTCAAGCTCCTCGTGGGAGCACGAGGCAGCGCTGATACAGTCATCAATGTAACGGAGGGAGAGGTGGGGTTTAGGGCCAGTGTAGGTATGGAAGAGGGATTGTTCCACGTAACCTACAAAGAGGCAGGCATAGCTTGGGCCCATGCAGGTACCCATGGCCACCCCCTTTGTCTGTAGGAAGTGGGAGGAATTGAAAGAGAAAATTGAAAAGGATTTCACAAGCTTCAAAATCTCCCCTCCCCCTATCGCATCCCAAAACCAGCCCAGCTCGTCCCTGCCTCCCTAACCTGTTCTTCCTCCCACCTATCCCCTCCTCCCACCTCAAGCCTCATCCCCATTTCCTACCTACTAACCTCATCCCACCCCCTTGACCTGTCCGTCCTCCCTGGACTGACCTATCTCCTCCCTAACTCCCCACCTACACTCACCTTTACTGGCTCCATCCCTGCCTCTTTGACCTGTCTGTTTCCTCTCCACCTATCTTCTCCTCTCTCCATCTTCTATCTGCACCCTCCCTCTCCCTATTTATTTCAGAACCCCCTTCCTCTCCCCCATTTCTGATGTAAGGTCTAGGCCCAAAACGTCAGCCTTCCTGTTCCTTTGATGCTGCTTGGCCTGCTGTGTTCATCCAGCTCTGCACCTTGTTGTCTCAGCTCTTTAAAGTGCTCAGGATTGTAGTGGGAATTGGCTGAAATCGAAGGTCAGTTATTTAGTCAGTCCTCTGGTTTGCTGGTAAAATTGATCATTGTGTTCAAAATTTGCTGAGCCCCAAATTCAAAGTTTGCTGACATCTTCAACTACTCCCCTAAAACAGTTGCTCATTCTATCCTCTGCTCTATCCTCTTTATTTAGGGATCATTCATGTGCTTTGTAACTTGAGAAAACCCGGTCTCACTACCTGCCTCAGCACTACCTTCGCATTGGTTCCATTCTTACCTGTCTTAATGTATCCAGTTCAATGACTTCACATCTCATTCACAATCAGTTACTTGCGTTATATTTTTGAGCTTTTCACATTCCTCACTGACAACATCGTCCATAGATACGGAGCCAGCTTCCCTGTTATTTTGTTGACACACCCTTTGCATTGTCCAC